GCTTTTTTTTTTTTTCAGGCCTTCCAACTGTTCCGAAAAACATGTATCGTCCTTAACTCTCCTCCTTTTTGGTGTGTTTGTTGTTACTCTCTTGATGGAACCCTTCTAATTTTCGGCACTTATAGGGCCTAATTAGTGGGTGGTTGGCAGGTGCTCTGGTGTGGTTTGCTCCTTCTTTCCTATCACGCATCTATCGCCCTTATCTTTCCTTCTTTTTTGTGTTTGTTACTCTCTTGTAGTACCTCTACACTTCTGCACTTATATGACCTTATTGTGTTGCAAGTGCCGTAAAACTCTTATTAAAGCTGAAACTAAAGAGCCTAATTGTGCTGGGAGTGCTGAAAAAGGCGTACTAAAACTGATCTACGGTGATTACATTGATGTGCTGTTCTCATTGTCTGTACCGCCTGTGTGTGAGTGGGTGGTTGGCAGGTGCTCTGGTGTAGTTTGCTCCTTCTTTCCGTCTGTCATCTTTATTTGTTCTCTTTCTTTTTTTGTGTTTGTTACTCTCTTGTAACACCTCTAATCTTCGGCACTTATATTATATGATTGATGTGCTGTTCTCATTGTCTGAACCGTCTGTGTGTTCCGCAGTGCATGTGATCATTGCCACACCGGGGCGTATCCTGGACTTGATGAACAAAAACCTGGTCAAAATCCAGAACTGTGGAGTTCTCATCCTGGACGAGGTACGTGGGCTTTGAATGTTCTGCCGACAGCTGACAAAACACTTTTTTTTGTTGTATCCTATCCATATGTCCTGGGGCCATTTTGTACCCCGGGGTTGTATTCTTCACATTTTAGGATACTTCTAGTGCGAAGATCTCTTTGAAACTTTCAGTGTTTCTCAAAAAATCATTTTCACAGACTGCTATGCAAAGAGTATGGATCGGATTAACAAGTAAATTTCCTCTTTGGAAAGTGGTGGCACAGAGTTCCCCACGACGTAGGGATACAATAGTAAAATACGAGGTACGGATGGGGTTAATTTTGGCACCAACATTTTTATTTGTTAAATCGAAAGCATGATCAGTTACCCACCTTACTTTTGTGGGGGGGAAAAGTCGAAGTGAAACTGACTAATTTTTGAATAAATTTGAATTATGGTTTCGGAAGAAGGCCTTTTTCTGGAAACTGCTATGAAGAATAAATGGACACTTTGTCAGCGTTTGGCAGTGTTGTCGTTTCATTGCAGGTTATCGCTGTCTGTCGCATCTGTAGTGACTATAAAACTGTCCTTTGAATATTTTAAAGACATCACTTATTCTGACTTGATTTGGGTGGGGTGGGGGGGTCCATGCTGTGTGCATCATTGTTGCATGTTTCATAACTTTTACTACGAAGCAGAAAAGGATAAAGGGCTGTGGCTTTACTGAAAATCTTTTTATTGCCATAATAAGTCGGATTCCCTGTAAGGACTTCTCTGTTGACATCCGCCTCTTGGTGCTCATGTGACCTTATGTAGTTGCGAGTGCCGTAAAACCTCTGCTATATATATATATATATAAACCTCTACAAAAACTACAACTAAACTGTGTTTCAGGCGGACAAGCTGCTGTCTCAGGACTTCAAGGGTATGCTGGACAGCATCATTGGCCACCTCCCCAAGGACAGACAGATCTTGCTCTACTCCGCCACATTCCCCCTCACAGTGGAGGCCTTCATGGTGAGTGGCTGGCTCGGTGGGTGGTTGGGTGAGTGGTTGGCGGGGGCTTGGTCCTTTCCTATTTGTGAGTGGTTGGCGGGGGCTTGGTCCTTTCCTATTTGTGGGTGGTTGGCGGGGGCTTGGTCCT